TAGATCTGTTATTTCTAATTGTTTTCTTTTTTCTTTTATGACCTTCGTATTGCTAATTATTTTTTGGCACTAAGAATGTATTAATATATATTGAAATTAGGGCAAACCATTTTCTTTTGGATAGTTGAAAAATTATTATTTCATAATGCTTACTTTCTTACACTTGATTTAAATTATCAATATTTAAATTCATGTGAAACACATACTATTATATACGATACCAAATTAAAGTTGTCCAGTGCCTATTTGTGGGCTGTAAGAATTGAAACGAATATTGTAATGTTGAATAATATGATTTTTATTGATGGAATGATTATAAAATGTATGACTACTAAATATTATATAGTTAGTAGTTTAGTACCTATAAAATACATAATATTTAATAATCGAGGATCTTGGTTCGATAGAATTCATATGCATATTTATCAATATAAGTAAAAATATAAATTATAAAAATGTATCAATCATCATTTATTTTTCCTAAAGGTTATCTTGAATATTTCACATTTAATTTTAAATTTATGTACAATATATGACGTGTGTGAACTGTGAGAAATGCGCTTTAAGTATTTGTAACGTAACCTATTTGGTTCGTAAATGAGATATAAAATTATCTGTTTCGTACTAAAATTAGGTAACCAAGATTCATGTTTTAAAATCATTTTTATCCTTGGTGAAATAGTTAGGATAAGAAAATTAACTTTATCCCCATTATATAAGATTAAAGTACAATAATTTATTACAATATTAAAATGTAAAATATTAACTCATACTAAAGAAGCTTAAACGTATTGCAGCGTATAAGTGTATCCAATAAATAAATAAATAATATTGATATTTTAACAGTTAAATTTAAACTAAAATAAATATACCCTATGTAAAATAATTTATTATATTGATACTCCATTTTCTACTTTGAAAATATTTATAAAATTAATTATAATACTAATAATAATATTAATATGGATAGAATAATATGTGTCTGGGTTTTCTCGGATGATTAATCATTTAAAATTTGAAATAATTACCGATGTTATTTATGCATATTATTTTCATAAATTATCAGCCTATTTTACTAATAATAAAATAAGTTACATAATATATTAATATCATTTAGCTTATAATCTATCCTCGATGAAAATATTAAAAGTATTCAATATAATATTTAATATACCTACTACCTACTCAATAATACATATCACCTACATTATAACATAAAATAATAAATATTGATGATGTAGAATAGATATATGATACTGTTATGATGGTTTAAAAATTATTGATCAAAATCAATATTTTTATTTCGATGTACAATTATGTCATTAATTCACCAATTTTATATCCGTTCATTTGCATTTATACTGACATTAGATCTTGAATTATTTGTATACTTGACTATATAGTTACAAATTACATTACAACTCTTATTTTCATAAATTTTGAATTTATGATATTATAATTCCGTGTCGGTGTCATAACCATATGTTTTGAACGAGAGTGCACTTATCAACATTAGGCAAAACTAGAAATTTTCAGAAAAAAATTGTATAAAAATTATTGTCCTCCTCCCAAAAAAATCTTTCTTTGTCCGTCTTGTGACGATTGAATTCCAAGAATTCCCACAAGCCTCCTTTGCCTACATTTCTCCGGATATTAAATCTATGGTATTACACACACTCATAATATGTAGATGTCAAATCTTACCCATTTACCTTTAAGTGCAGACATTAATTATTTTTTACAAATTGTAGGTACTTATAATATTTTTAATTTTTGTCCCTCATTTCAACCTGTATGATTTATAAAGAAGACGCCCTGCCAGATGAGGCTCTGGTTTGACCCTGCCTTCACAGTTTGTTTTGGTGACAAGTTTTTTTAAATAAATATCACTTCAACAATAATAATATTATGTTAGCGATGCAGTATTTCTCTCTTGTGGCACTGCCCCTTATAATTGTATTGAAATAATGTTAGGTAATCTCGATTTACATGAACACATTAACGTGCTTTGGTTGCACGACACGTGAGACACCACAAACATCGGCTTATTATTCCTTATTGGTGGATCGTACGAATTGTGGTTGTGCATTATCATATAGCCGCTCACGATTGTTGTGAATTGTTGTTTGCTGTCGTTTTTTATTATTTTAACTTTTAATTAACCTCCATTACATAACAATTATTCTGAGGGATCACCCGTAACATGTTACTCTCGTAGATGAATGTTGTAAGGTACCCTCGGTGACAATTTGTTGTCATAATATTGTATTCTGCTTCCAGTCTGGTAGTATGTTGTCACCCTTTTCCTAGACCTGGTAACTTTTTTTTATTGAAAAATCATAGTTAGTAATTACAATCTTTACATTAATGTTTGTGCAATAGATAGTTTAAAATAACGGGGAATTACAGAGAGGGAAGTAATTCAGTAATACCATCTGGTAACTTAACAGTTAACACTCTATATATTATTATACTTATATTACTCATTCGTAATAATATTTCGGCAATTGATACGATTTATATAATAATAATCATTGATTATTATTTATCTGTTGGTACGCGCAAACATATAATATTATTTACTTTGGTGTTTGGTATTTTGAAGTGTGATGCTTATATTTCATATTCGGTTTCATTTATTTTTGTTATTTATAATCGATATCGTAGGCTGAGCGAGAAGTGTGTTCAGGGTATGCACAATATTAATCGGTCTATAAACGTGTAGGAAGCTTTTGTCCTCCCTACCCTTATTCCCCTTCACATTACCTTATACATTAAATGTACACATTTTGTTCCTTCTCTTAATTTAATATTATTACCAAAAAAGACTCCACTATTATTTGTGAGAGTAAAAATATGAAAAATTCTTGTCACTCAAATTTTATATACAAGTAAGAAACATGATTTTTTTATACCTGTGAATTCAATGCTTTAAAACATGGATATTAAATCTTATATAATTAATGCACTATAATTTGCATTTAACATTTTTCAAACTTGCCTAAAAACATTAAAAAAATATATAATATTTTCACTAAAAGGAAGGATGTTTGTCTATATTGAGTTTAAAAATAAATATATTTTTTATTTTTTTCAAAGCTTAAAAATAATAAAGAAAACCCAGTTGTACAGCTTGTGTAAAATAAAAATCAACGGTAAACAAATTATTGACTGACATTTATTTAAAAATAACGTAAAATATAATAGAACAAAAACGATCTATAAAAGCAATAGATTAGACAAGTAATAAACTAATAAGTTATACACCTAATCAAAAATATAAGAAATTCTAAATTGTGTTAATTTTTACATTAAATTAAATTAACTTAAGGAAAGCTAAGTCTTTCGATAAGATAATTTTTCTACAAATGCATAGCCCTACTGAATTACATTAGGCGATGTTGTACCCCTATGTATTATTTCTGTCCGACACATTTATAACATAGCAAGTCTTCATACCTGGTACTTACTACAGGTTTACAGTTTATTTATCACTTATATTGTAGAAGTGAATATATTTTATTCATGTTTTTTTTTGTTTTTAAACAAATGATATGTATTTGAAAAAAAAGAATCATTTCAGTAGTTATAACTCATACAAAAAAAAAAAAAAAAATACTGCCAATGACAACAGTCATGTTCACTCTTCGATCAATTAACCCATAACCAATTATTGTTATTATTATTATCAATTTACTATAAACGGTCAACGACGGATCAGTAATTCGCCTGCATCGCGATCTCTCCTGTCTGATTAAACCCGTGATTTTAGAATTTTTTTGATAATAAACATTTTTTCATTTATTAATCAACTTAACTTTATAGAATAATCATGTGAATCAAAATATGAAACAATATTTGAAATCGCAACTTTAAAGATTACTTTGGAGCGGGATTGGTTAATAGGTCTATTATGAGTTAGACCACCTATATGTAAATAATATACATAGGTAGTATTAAGTAATTTAATAATAGAATATAAACTATAAAGTATTGTTTAATTAGCTGACTCCGGCTATTTTTATTTTCCCATATTTTATTTTATTCTCTGTATTGGTGATCAAATAATTTAACTTCTTTTTGGTGTTTATATTCTGTCGTGTTGTATTATATTCATTTATATTAATGATATGTATATTACAATATTTTTACTTCCTATTAATTACTAAAAACCGTCAAATTTTCCAATAATTCTTAAACTTAGTGGGCGGTGGCCCTTAAAAACTTAATGAAAGCTGTCCTTTTATCGATGATTAGGGCGTACAGCCGTTGCTAACCACGCCCCGTTGCTCCGCCCTATGATCTATATCGATACGAAAAGTTTTAAAAATCATTTATTTTAAATTTTGTTATCATATAATATAACTCATGGTTATTGTTTATTTTATGTTTATTAAATAGTTTTAGTTTGTATACCCAATGTAATCATAAGTGTTTCAATTAGCTTTTATGAATTTGTTTTGACGTTTTAAAATATAGCGATGTAGTGTAGTTGTATATTAGCTTAAAGGATACACGAACTTGACCTTGCATAATAATGCAGTTTAATTTCTTACTGTGCTACTTGTCTGCGTTATAACTCAAAAACTATTATATATTCGTTATTTGTGAATCATAGAATCGTACATGTGTGTATGGAAGATATTTTAATTGATACTATAGATGCGTGATTTGATCTATCAAGCATATTAATACAGCCGGTGTCGGAGATGGATCAAAGAGCATCTGACTGAACATGATAAGGTCGTCCCTGTGTGCAGTAATGTCCTAAAATATTTTTAACCTTTGATACTCACTATTGCCCCATCGTGGCAATAACATTATTAAACTATCGTTGTATCGCACTAAGTGTGATCACTAAAACTATGAAATTCGTCTCACGGCAATAAGAGCCACCCAGCGGTATTTTCGCTGTGTTAAAAAATAAATTTGTATATTTGTCAACGCCGTTGTATCTGGTGTACATTTCTGACTGGACTTTTTCTCTCTTTTGTTCACAGGTCTCCCCTAGAGGAACTCAGCAGCTTTGAACGTTCTAGTCATTTTTACGATCGTGAACGAGAGGCTAGCTACCGCGGACGACCGACCGCCTCCAGCTACCACGTTGTATCGCCGATTCAAGGATCGCCCGACCCGCTCCGAACTCGACCTCGTGAGAGGACCGTCTTCAGGGCGTACCCACACGAAAGGTAATTATCATCTTCGTGTCCGGGTCACGGGGAATGGGGAGTACCCGAGAGGGGCGATTGTTTTAGTTTTTTTAGTTTTTTAAGGTGTGGTAGGTTTTTTAGAAGAAATTTATCTCGAAAATATATTTTTGTTATTATATTTGGACGCTTGAAAATATCGTAACTATACTAAGCGTATAGCATGAGAAAATGATATTAGATATATTGTTTTATGTTTATTTTAAAATTTAAAATTAATGAATTGTGGGAAATTATTAATTCCACTATTTACTCTGTGGCTTTAGAGGTCGTCACACTACATTCAATATTCATGTATTTGGAATTTTTTTTGTCTCTCTTACATAACAACCATTGTGATTCATTGTTTTAGTGTACAAATTTAAATATTATCTCACCTAAAGATGTAGGTTTACTGGCTATGTATGATACTGCAGTTCAAAATAAATAAAATTTAGATATTAATATTTATAAAACTGATAATGACTTTAGGTAACAGTCTTATACTTATCTTTCATACCATTATATTTTTTCCAAGACGACGTAATGTTCGATTATGTTATCTCCATCTTATAAACGTACAGCGTGAAGGAAAATTTGAATTCAGTAGAGCCCATTGTGTGTCGTTAGTTATAATATTATTGTAAATTGACCTTTATTCAACATTAAACATATAAGAATATTATCTGTGTGTTCTCGTCAATTTACTGTAATATTAAAACTAACAACACAATGTTATGGATTTTGCAGAACGAAAATGTACTATATTATACTTTGGTAAGAGCGAAGACACACTCGAGCATTACGTCCTCATAATGTAAGACGTTTTATTTCGAAAATATTAATTGGTTCTTTTTATCATGCTATGTCTGAGGACTTACCAAGCATGAAATATTTATGTGCGAAAGTTCTAAAACGAAAAAATGAATATTATGTAACTAGAAAGTGAAAATTATTAAATATTATCAGAGGTTTTTTTAGAAATAACAGATAAATTGAAAGTTTGTAAATATAAAGAAACTCTTAATTTATACAAATCATGAACCACGAGTACTCGCATAGTTTGTGTCATATATTATAGACTTTAAGAGATGCAGTTTTGTTTTTTAAATTTGTATTGTATCCGTTGGAATTAATAAAAGTTATTTTAGAAATACAATTATATGGGATTATAGTATTATTGTTTTACATTCCTGTGTACAAATCAGGCAGTGGAAAATTCCCACATTGCTCCCCCAATAAAACCACTAAATAAATGTTATTTTATGTTTATATGTTAGGTTGCGATGTTAGTTTCGTTAAATCAGTACAATTGAAACAAATTAGTTTATTCAAAAATTATTTTGTTTTAAAATACGTAGTTATTTGAATTCGATTTAAGTGGAAATTGGTTTAACTGGTATTATTTTAAATTTTAAACTCTGGGCCTATGAAATTGTTCATAAATCATAATTCATAATTATTTATGTGATTGCTTGATATTAATTACTGTTTGTATTATGGTGTTAAGTAACTTCGTAAACTGTAGTCTGCAATCCATACTTTGATCCTACATCAATATGTAGCAATATTCAAGATAAACCTTAAAAATTATAATTAATTTGTCCACTATAAATGTATAATTAATAGTTAAACCTCTTTAAGGCATTTAAAAATGTTTCGATTTTATTTAAATAGTTGAAATTATGGTCCATAAATCATAATATTTTTTTTTTTTGGTAATATTATTTTTTTTTATTTAAATTAATATCGAAAGATTTAAAACTGCACAAATGTATATTATGGTTTTTGTTAAATTGTAGTTAGTTTGTACCTGTAGGCTGTAATACATTAGTAGGTATTATATTATACTTACCATTCGAATATTTTGTTGAATGATTTCTCTTGTTGATTTTACACCATAATGATATCAGTTATAAATAATAATGTATAAACTACATTTATTTTTCAGCAAAAGTTAGCAAAAGCTAGCAAAGACTAGCAAAGGTATCTAGTTCATTGCATGTATAAATAAATAAATATTTTAATGAATTTTAATTATAAATAAAATCGATTTTAACTATATTAAAGTAATAAACAACTACTGTAATATTATGCAAGTGTCATTTTGGTATGCAATAATTATGGTGGATATTATCCAATTTTTCCTAGCGTTTATGGACGACCGACTGTCACTGTAGTGTAGCAGTATTGATTTGTTAGTGTTTACGACACGAGCGATAGAGTAGAGTGGGCGTGAGGGTGGAAGGGCGCAAAGTCCTGGCTCTTGCAACCCCATTAGTATTCCAACAGTTCCCTGGGGTTCTTTGGACGCTGTTGTCGTGTGCGCGCAACGACTCTCGATCATTAGTCTGATATTTTCATTCAAATTCGTCTATTTCAAACATTCTGAAATATTTTTATTATTTTGTGATCTAAGTGTGTGTATTTAATATTTTCATTTTGTTATTATCTAAGCATACAACATATGTTGTCGTAAACGGTTTATAAACGCGTGTATATTTGTGTGAACATGTTACACAATAAAAAATGTGCACCATGCATGTTTCGTGGGTAGATTTTTTTTATATAGTGAAATAGCAACAGGTCTATATTGTAATGGTGAAATATAATATATTTACGTTTGTTTTATAGTGTTGTAACTTCTAGCAGAGGTCACCATCGTGTAGGTAGCTGGGCTTATGAAGCCAACAACCCTGCAAGGTTCAATCACCACCTAGGTAGTTGTAGTTCACCGGACACATACCCGGAAGATAGACGGGTGGAAACACCTTTAATTATCGTCCGGAATAAACAACTACTAAAACCCCCTAGGTATGCTTATTATTATTATTTTTTAAAATTATTATTATGTATATATATTTAATAAATACACTTTTATTTCTAATATTTATATTATTAATTATACAGTGAGTCTAGGGGTTGTAGTGAGGATCGTTCTGGTTCACCCTCGAGCTCTAGTTCGGCTGCAAGCCATTCAGGGGCAAGTAGTTCGTGTAGTTCGTCTTCATCACCTAGCCCTACACCACAGCTGCCACGCAGCCCTAGTCCAGGCCCCGCATTATCCGACAAGTCTTCTTCAAGCCATAGGTATTTATGATTATTACATTTTAACTATGCAATATAATTTTTAATTAATATTTTACATACTTTAACTATAATTATTTTTATTCTTAGCCTTCATGGTAGCTCGAAGAGCAGTACGGTTCCGTCCCACACCATTTGTGCACAGTCACCAAACTTAGAAAGTCAATCATCTCTTTCACTTGAACAACAGAGGCATAATGCAATCTGTATAAAAAATCTACCTTTGAGATCCAGTGGTAAGTTAACAATTAATTTTAAATTACATTAATTTGTTCATAATTTAATAAAAATAATATTTTTTTTATAGATACCAGTCTTAAAGATGGTCTGTATCATGAATACAAACGACACGGCAAAGTGACGTGTGTCAAAGTGGTGGGCCAAGGGTGCGAAAGGTACGCCTTGGTGTTCTTTAAAAAGACTGAAGATGTTGATAAAGCATTGCAAGTGTCTCACGACAAGTCGTTTTTTGGTTCCAAAATTGAAGTTTCTTCATACCAGGGACATAAAGATGTGGACGACAATGAAAGCAGGTAATGTATTTATTTATACTATAATAACTTATTTATTTCTTCTTAACACATTTGTTAATAATGCTTGATTCTATGTTTAAATTATGTCAATTAGTAATTCTATTAGAATGTTTATTAAAAAAAAAAGCTATGAGATTTAAATAAAAACCAATAAATCTATTAATATAATACATTTGACTATGAATTCATATGATTTATAATTATTTTATTTTAGGCCGATTGAAACTGATGTGGATGAGTTTCATTCAAAAGCAACCAGAACTCTCTTCATCGGTAACTTAAACAGCAATACAATAGCTGCCGATTTGAGGAAAAATTTTGAAACATTTGGCGAAATTATTGTGAGAGAATATATTTTTTTGTTATTTAAGGAAAACATTTTTAACACATTATTATATTGCAGGAAATTGATATTAAAAAGGGGAATAACATCAATGGAAGTACAACAGGCACATATGCATTTGTCCAGTATATTGATATATCCAGTGTTGTAAAAGCTATGCGTACAATGGATGGCGAATTTCTGGCAGGAAGTCGTATAAATTTAGGTTTTGGAAAATCACTGGCAACTACATGTGTTTGGATTGACGGCGTTGCTGAATCTGTCAGTGAAAAATATCTGGCATCTCATTTTAATCAGTTTGGTAGTGTTACTCACTGTGTAATTGACCGAACGAGGGAACACGCTTTGGTATTTTTTCAACAGGTAAATATTTATTTTATTATTATTTATACATTTTTGAATGTTGATAACAACCTGATTTACTAGAAACTTAGTATTTGGCTTTTTTATTATTAAAATAATAGTTGACCATGAGGAAAAGTGTGCATACTAGTTTATTTACTGTTATTTAAGATAAATAATTAATATAAAAAAAATTGTTGCTTATACCAAATATAGTACATTCAACTTTTGTGGTACTTAGGAAGCTTGTTAAATTATTTTTCTATACTTAACTATGCATTTATTACTTAATTTTTTAACAAAGAAATCTTCAAAAACCATATAAGTTGTATTTAAAAAATGTTTTTTCATTATTATATATAGAATTTATATTTTGTGATTAACTTATACCTAACATTTTAAAATATTTAATGATGAATGTTGTATTTTGTAGTATAGTATTTTTTTTCTTTTCATTGTTGGGTGAAATCTCTGACAATGCGCTGAGACAACTGGTTTGTGTCTAATATTTCTGAAACTTGATTACTAACTTCACTCCCTAATTTTTAAATATTCCAAGCCTGACACAAAAAACTGTTTATTTATATGTTCAATATTGTTATATTTAATGATTATAAATTATTTTTGATTTGAGTGATTTTTTAAATTTATATTTGTGGTATAAGTTAGTATAAGAAACTTTAGTTAGTTGACTATTTGTTTGTTACTTTTGTAATTGCCTTTGTTTTTGTATGATGATTTAAAAATTAATGAAACAATTATTTTATTGATTATAAACAATTAATCATAGTTAGTATTTGAAGCAATCATCTAATTTTTTTAAACTTTATAAATCTAAATTTGTAACTAATTAAATTGTTATTACTATTATAAGTGACAAATATACTATTAAAAACTCATATCTATAAAATATTTTTAAACTGATTTATTGTATTGGAAAATTGCATAGAGTTTAAAAACTATTTTTATTTTTAGATTGCACATGCACAGTTAGCTGTTACACAAATGCGTGGTTCCATTATGAAAGGTCGAAAACTTCAAGTTGATTTTGCATCTAGAGAGTGTCAACAAGGATTCTATGAACACTTAGATAAAACATCTAGTGAATCTAGTCCTAGGTTCACCACCAGCCAACAACACGATAGTACTGCACAATTATCACCCAGCAGTACAAATGGTGTTGCTATTCGAGGTTTTGAAACTCCATCATCTTCTTGTAGTAGTGCTGCTGGGGACAAAAGTTACCCAAGGAATCCTGATGAACCTCGTAGTAGTTCAATTTCTGTTCCTAACCCTCAAGACATGCATAACTTGCAAAAGGAACGTGTCTCTCTTCTAGAACAACTTGAGGACTGCAACAGTTCTGGTGATGAACTTCTGAATGATTCGTCTAAAGCGCAGCAAGTTAAAAGCCGCTCGGGCACACCTCTATGTAATGAACGCCCCCCAGAGAGTCTCACACCTCCGACTCAAGTTCCTAGATCTCATGTACCGATCTCGTTGCCGTTGCCCAGATTTGCTGTGCACGTCTCTAATCCCCTGCTCAGCCCACCTCTAAGCTCCCCTAGGAGACCTCAATCATCTAACTCTGATGATTCTCAAGCCTCCGACCCTGGTGCTCCAGGTCTTGAAGAGAGATTAAGAAGCCTCGATGAAAAATATGAACAATGGAGTGGCTCTAGAACAAGTGTACTAAAACTTGATACTTCAGTTCGTCTTCGTTCAAGATACAAGTTGTTAGATACTGTTGATAAACTAGAACCTTCAGATATTGTTAAGTCAGTACTTGCAAAACCAAGTGTTTTTGATGAAGATACTAAAAGACTTGAAAATTTTTCTGATAAATATATACCTAAAGAGTTTGTACCATCTCGAACGAGCCCTAATTTACAAAACTTCAGACACCAACAATTAGGTTCGTTTTCACCACTAACTCCATCAAGTAGTGGTTCATCTAAATCTCCTCCAGCTTCTTCTCCGGCAGCTGTTAAAACTCAATATTCTTTTCCAAGTCATCCTCAGCCTATAACAATCCCACAAAGTTGCAGAACTTCGCCATCAGACCCTCGATTGCCACCTACTGATCCCAGGTTGTTAATTGACCCAAGATTAGCTGTTGCTGATCCTAGATTATCAGCTGATTCAAGAGGATCGTTTCTGACTAAGCAAAATATTTGCACTATAAACGATAATAGGTATGTTCCTGATATACTTAATACTAAGGATCCTCGACATCCTATACATAAAGATGCAGAAATAAAAGATGGCCCTGAAGCATTTTATAGAAGTAAAATTCGAGATGAGTATACCAAAAATTGGTTGCATACGTTTGATCGAAAAGATAATGAGCCAACTTATAGGTTAGTTGACACATTTGATCGTCGAAGGTTTAGTGACTTCAGAAAAGAAGAAGAAGAAAAGTTAAAAGTTGAACAAATAAATAAACAAAAACTTTTAGATGGATTTGTTGTAAAACGAAAATGTTCTAATGATACCGTAGTACATCCTAGTCCATACTTTGTCAGTGTTCAAGAAAAACAAAAAAATATTGAAGATCTTAAAAAGCTTACCGAACATAAAAAAGTTGAAGAAATCACAAAACGTGAAGAACGTATTGAAATAAAAAAAGTAACTGAAGAAATCAAACCTCCAGAACCACCTCCAACAATAAATAATATTGATGAAGATAAGATAGACTTCATTACCAATGAGAATACTATCGCTAATATTCTACTTTCTTCTATTGAAAATTTGCATAGGAAGACTGAAATAGAAGAAACTAGAAATAAAGTCGAAAGAACAAATTCAAATGAATCTGTTAATAAACTTTCAGATACTGAGAAAAAGAAGGAAGTTATTATTGAATCAATAAAAAAGAAGGAACACGAAAGGAAGAAATCTATTGATTTTGACCATACTAAAATCAAAGAAAAGAAAGACCATGAAACTAAAAAGGTCTTGGGTTCTAAATCTAAAGAATGTGAAAGCAGCAAAAGTAAAGAACTTGAGTTTAATATGTTTGAAATTAACCGAATCAATAATAAGAAAAAAGAAGACCTTTTGATAAATGGTAAAACAAAAGATGTTGAAAAGAAAAAAGATGTGATCAAGTTTGACAAAAAACCAGAAACCAAAAAAGAAGATAAGAAAAAAGATTTTGTTAAAGAAACTGATAAAAAGGATGATGTTGACAAAATAAAAGAGAAAAAGAAAGATAAACGTGATAAAGATCCACCTAAACACAAAGAAAGAAAAAAGAGTTTAGATGAAAATAATAAGCATAAACATGAAAACATAAGTAAGAGATCAAAAGAACATTATAAATGTAAAGAAGAAGAAAAATTACATCAAATTGTCACTTCTGATTTTGATGCAAAATTTAATGATGATAAAGATAACAAAAAAGACAAACGCGTAGATAGAAACAGCATCAGTAGTAACAGTTCTACAGGACGTTCATCTAAAAGGAGAATGAGTGATAGCTCAGAAAATCTTGATGATTCTAAAAGATCAAAAATAGATACTAAAAATTCCAAAGAAAAAAATCATAAGAAAACTAATGAAAAACATATATCATTCATATCAAAAATTTTGGATGGTAAAAACAAAGAACAGAAAAAAGATCATCACGAAAAGAAGGTGGATAAGAAGAAAGAAGAGAGGAAAGTTATCAAAACTCCGAATGAATCAGAATCAGAAGACGATGATGAAGATGAAGAAGCTAGAGAAAGAAGAAAAAATCATTCTATATTTGAAGTTGTATTAGATGAGCCATATGTTTCAATGTATGATAAAGTAAAAGCCAGATCTACCAAAAATATGCAAAAACAAGAAGAAGAGAAACGCCAAGAAAAGCTTAAGGAAAAGTTTAGTCAGTTAAAGCAAAGTAGAGCAAAAAGAGAAGAAAAGAAGAGATCTACATCGTATGACGGAGATTCAGATTCTGATCGAGGTCTACGACGTTCATCTAAATTACTCATTACCAGCTCAGATGACGATGATGACTATTTTCGGCGGAAAAATCAAAGACCTGTTTCTGATTCATCAGAAAACGATCGACCAAAAGTTCAACGAACTGTATCAGACTCTTATGAAAGTAATAAAGTTAAAACTCAAAGAGGATCTGATACTTATGACAATGACAGATTAAAAAATGTGAGAGTTGTATCAGATTCTTCAGAAAATGAAAAATTCAAACAATTATCCAAATTTAAGTCTAGAATACAATCTGAATGTAGCGATAGTGATGATCATTTTGTTCGGAAAAGTTCATTTACTTTTGATCGAATACAAAATGATGTTCAAGGATTTAATGGACACCAAAAGAAAAAGAAACAGAAGAAACAAAAAAGTGAATATTCAAGAAAATCAATTGATATCAATGGATTAGATAATAACCATAGGCCAATCAAGGATAAAAAGAAAAAACATTCAATTAGTCATAAATCTAATATTAATGAAAGAATGCAAGATATTTTTGGATCCTTATCAGATGAGGATAATGAAAAAACAATTGTAAACAAATGGAGTGTATCTGATGTTTTTGGAACTGATTCTGATACAGAGCATGAACGTAAAGAAAATAAACCAAAAATGGAAATTAAAAAATTCAATGAATTTGGTAAAGATGTATTAAAATCACTGTCACACAATGTTGATGAATTAGCTCGAAAGAAAAAGAAACGTAAAAAGGACAAAGAAAGAAACAAAGAAGATCGAAGGGAAGATCGCAAAGAAGAACGGAGGGATGACCGTAAAGAAGAACGGAGGGATGATCGTAAAGAAGAACGAAGGGATGACCGTAAAGAAGAAAGAAGGGAATGTAGGGAAGACCGAAGGGAATGTCATCTTGATCGAAAAGAAGAACGTAGAGATGATAGAAAAGAAGAACTAAGAAAAGATGAACCTCGAAGAGAAGATCGAAAAGATGAACCTAGAAAAGAAGATCGAAAAGATGAACCAAGAAAAGAAGATCGAAAAGATGAACCTCGAAGAGAAGACCGAAAAGATGAACCAAGAAGGGATGATCGAAAAGATGATCGTAAAGAAGAACAGCGGAAAGAAGATCGAAAAGATGATCTCAAAGAAGAACAGCAAAGAGAAGACCGTAAGGACGAAAAGAAAGAGGAACGAAAAATAGAAATCAAAGAAGAACGGAAAGAAGAAATTAAAAATGATAAAAAAGAATTAAAGAGTGACAGGTTAGTAAATATAACGCACGAAGAAAGAAAAGTACCTAAAGAAATAAAAAGTGACAAATTGGTAAATATAACACATGATGAAAGAAAAGTGCCAAAAGAAGTAAAAACCGAAAGATTAGTAAACACGCCACAAGAGGAAAGAAAAGTACCTAGAGAACCAAAACATTATGAAGAAATAAAAGTAATGGATAATCTTCAAAGTATAATTGAATCTAAGAAGAAGCCAAAAGAATTCATTGCTAATAATGTCAATACAATTACTCCAAATAGAGATGTATTTTCTTCATTTTTTGATTTTGATGACTCAAAAGGCCCTGAAGATGAAACAATTACTATATTCAAAGGGGATGATGATACCGTTAAGACTGAAGTTATGTTTAGAAAAGTAGATGAGAAAAAAGAACTATTATTTAGACCCATCAATACGTTTGAACCTATTAAAAGAGAAATCATTGGTTTTGGATCTCAAATGGATGATGAAACTGCTGTAAAAAGTATTTCTGAAACACCTGAACCCTTAGTAGAAGAATCTAATCCTGTAGAAATGGCATCTCCTGAAGAAAAACCAACTCCTGTTATTTCTCAAGAAGAAACCGAAGGAGCTGTTGCAGCATTACTTGAAGCGGCATTTGGTCAAGATTTTTGTGACTCTTCATACTCTGATAGGTCTGCAAAACCTGACACTCCAATATCAGATAGTGAACTTCGGATCGATACAGATGATGAAGATAGTACAGATTCAATAATTGATGAATGTAAGAATGACATATCAGATGCTTCAGAAAATACAACTACTCTGAGTAAAACCGATGATGAAATCATAAAACCAGATAAAACAGAGACGGTTGTTTGTACTGAAAAAATAATAGAATCTGATAAACCCCCAGAAGACGATCCAAAGTCTGTAGTAGAAAAACCTAAACTTTCAGAACTCCAACAAGAATTACCAACACCTGAACCTTCGGACACAAAACCGCAGTCACCTTTAAGTCATAACTTTAGATTACCCCAAATGGTCATTCAACAAACTAGTATAAGATCATTGAATATTAATTATGCTAAACCATTAACAGAGGTAAAACCACCCATAATACCATCTCCAGAAATCCCAGAGATAATCGTTGAAAGCATTTCAAAACCTGAAGTTAAGACTGAAGATCATGTTTCTGTTGTAAAATTTTCTACTTCTCAAATACCAACAGTCATTTGTCAAGAACAGTCTGTTATATCATGTGCACCAATATCATTACCCAAACCAGAATTTAGTCAAACATCTGTCTTACAACACACCAAAGATACTCAAATTGTTCAAAGTTGTATAGTTTCACCTCCAATTATTTTACCTGAAATTAAAAAACCTAACTTGGATTCCAAAACAGAAGAAATAGTAGAACAAGAAGTGGTTGTCGATGAACCAAAACTCACTGAAGAATTGCCATCTAATCAAGCAGCCACAATAACGTTTGCAAAAAAGTCAATAATTCATGATGAAAAATTAGAATCTAAAGAAATTTCAACTTCAGTTATACAACACGAAGAATCTGTTTATCCTGTTGTTGTACCTGTTGAAACTGAAGACAAATCAATGCCTAAACATCCAAAAGCTAAAGGTCTAGAACGCATTGTTGAACAAATAAATGAAAAAATAAGAGCTAAAGCTAGTGAAACTGCATTAAATTTGACAAAAGAACCTATAATGATGCCATTAAAAAAGGCTTTGATTGCAAAAGACAAGGATGACAATAGGTCCGATTGTAAAGTAGATGTTATAGAAGTTAATAAATCTAAGACAGTTGAAATGGAATCGCCTGAAGATTTAGTTGTGGCCCCATTGACTCCAAAAATTGAAGATAAAACTGAAGTTTTTGCCAGTCCTGGTGAAAGTAGTTGTGAACCCAAAGAATTGGATACAGCTAGAATTAAGAAAGATGACGATTTCACAAAAGATATGTCAAAAACTGTTGATCGAGGTAAAGTTTTAATTTCTTATATTTATATATATTTTTTTTTTTAACATACTATTTCATAAAATTGTTCAGATTGTTCAGTTAGAGGAAGACGAAGAGGTGGTAGAGGACGTGGAACTCGTGGAGCTCCTACTATAGTGACACCAAGAAGAACTCGGCAAAATATTGTAACACCGAATATGCCTCCACAAAATACTTTAACTGACATTTATGAGTTTACGGATGAGGATGAAAAAGTCGGCCAAAAGTATAGCAAATCCCCAGAACCTCCTGTAACAAGTGTAGTCCCAAATATTTCATCATCTCCGCCGACTGGTGCTTTGGTAGTAAGCACATCTCCATTGACCAGAAAATCTAGAAGACTACAGGTAAATTGAATTATTAATTTAATGAGTGCCATTTTCATATTAAAGTTTATATTAATATACCTGTGTATATTTGTGTTTAGGAAAAAGATGGAAGTAAGAGTACCTTAGAAGAGACAATCGATGAAGTTGCTCGTGGTCCTTGTACTCGACGCACTACACGTTCAAAGCCCCAAGCAATACCTTTACTAAGTTTAGAAACATCTCCTCGAAAAACTAAACAAATTAATGGGAAAAAATTAAAAGCTGAGTCTCCCCAACCAGTGTCCAAACCAGAAACTATTGAAACTCCATTGTCTAATGATCAAGATGATGATAAAATTCCAGTGTCAATATCTTTGTTATCAACGTCTTCTTCGTCTTCAACTACCTCAGAAACAACCACATTAATTGATCCAGTTACTGGCTTACTTATTCCAATGCAAGAATCTGAAGAAGGTCAATATGTGCCTATAGATGATGGAGATAATAATAGGCAAGTGTTAATAGTTAAATAATAATTAAAAAAATTGCTTATATAGCGTAAACTATATTATAATATATTGACTAAAAGATTTTATATTATTTTTCCAATTAACTTGTGAAAATAACCTAACCAAATACTTCTGCATTTAAATATTTTATTTAATACATGTTTATTGTTATAGGAATAATATTTCACTATCAGATGAACCACCCGAGAAGAGAGCTCGCCTTGAGAAAGCACCTGTTACATCTATGGCAATTTCCAAAAATAGTACTACTATTCCAGCTTTGGCTGTTACGCCAAATAATATCCTTCCAGCAACTACCACAACATATGCAGTTACCCCTGGAATGTCCAATGTGGCTAAGACACCTTGTGTTATGACAACTGCTAACTCTGCACCTGTTGGACTTGTTAAACCTAACATTACAGCTTCTGTGATAGCTCCAACAAATATTGTGAAGTCTACTGCCGTCATGTCTCCTTCTCCACCACCTCTTAAGACACAACCAAACGTTCTGAATAAAGCATCTAATCCTGTAATTAGTCAGCAGCCAATATGCAAAACTTCAATTCCAATTTCTACAATGCCACCACCAATAAAATCTCATTTAACTGCCGTTAGTCGTACTCCTCCGTTACCTAAATTATTATCACCCAAAGGACACATCGTCCAAGCATATACATCACAGTCAATGGAAGCGGTTAATCAGAATGCTGTATTGCACCCTCCTCCAACAACTCAACCTTCACAACCTTTGTTGGTAAACACTCCAAGTGTTATGAGTCCACCATTAAGAGGAGTTTTAAACTCACCATCAAGAAGTGTGTTAAGCCCCTCTTCAAGAGGGTTATTGAGTCCGCCTTCAAGAGCTGTTGTACCCCCATCATCTCAGCCTACTCCATCTGTACACAGTTCATCAGCCGTACCTGATGTAAGTACTTTGTTTCCGTATATATATATTTTTTATATTCTTTTATATCAAATATATAAATACTAATGTATTTTATAACATATAAGTAGTCATTTATTTTATTTATTAATACAATTTATTCATTTCTTGTAGATTATTTGTCCAAAAGGATTTGATCCTTCAAAAATGGAGAATTCAAGGTGCATCGTTATGAGGAGTCCGTCACCACTTGTGTTGTCAGGCCAACCAATGTCATTTGAAGCAGGTATTGACTCCGCTCCTATGAATATGGTTCCAGCTCATCATTTCTTACATCCGCAACTTATTTATCCGCATTACATCAGGGATTCAATGGGAGCCTTTATTCCGCCTAGTAAGATTAAAATATATTTTATATTGTTATTAAAATAGTAATTAAAAATAATATATCTTTTAGGAAACATTAAAGTAGTACCAGAAATTGAAGAAAATATTCCGCCATTAGAATTGCGCAAAAGGCTTCCCGATGAATGTATTACGGACAGGCTGCAACATAATATTGGTGGAACCCAGCAATATATGAACGTACAGCAAGTTGCTCATCCAATTGGTAGCCTTCCGTATGGACAAGTTGTACCAATTAACTATGGTTATCGACCCATTAATTCCATATTAAAGGTTTGTAATGTTTTGAAAACATTTAGATTGAATATTTTATTTAAAATAATGTTCAAAGATAATTTAACATCACTAATAAATAATGTATTAAGAAATCAGCTAAAATAATATTTTATTTTCTAGAACTATCCTATTTACTGGCAAGGAACATTAGCACTCAAGAATGATAAAGCACTTGTGGAAATGCATTATTTGTTTGGGAATGCGGCCGTAGCTGAACATTCACTGCAGCGTAATATTGACGGTGAACTTAAGTTATCCCAACGTATGCGATTAGAACAAACGCAATTAGATGGTGTTTCACGCAAGATGCAGGTAAGAAATATTGAACTGTTCAAAAAGATCATGTATATACATAAATAATAATTTTATAACAATAACACATAATTTAATTTATTTTAGATTGAAGATGAATGTTGTGTGTTAATTGCTGTGCCAATTGGTATGAGTGAAGAAGAATGGAATCAACAGAGTTGCACATTGCATAATGGTTTTATAACATACTTACAACAAAAACAAGCTGCGGGAATTATCAATATCACTGCACCTGGAAGCACTCAGGTATTTAAATTTTGAAATAATTACAAAAATTAGTATTAAATAACTAATAAATTATGTTAACATTTAATTAACCAGCTATTTTAACACAAATATTTTGAATAATATTGCAAATGATAGGTATAACTATAAAGAACATGCATAATATATATTATACATATTGAAACTAAATTATTATTATTTTTTATTTGTTTCAGAATGCCTACATAGTGCACATGTTCCCGCCTTGTGATTATATAAATAGCGTCCTAGCTACAGTTCACCCTGCAATGGTGAAACAAATAGCATCTATGGCCCATCTAATTATTGTCATAGCCACCGTGTAAATATTCTATAATGAGTACAAATTTCATATTTCTTCTAGCGCATTAGGTGCACAAAGTATATATATTATATAGTTAATGATAAAATTCATTAAATAAACCTAATGGTAATTGTTAACAGTTTTTATTATTATTACGATTATTATTAATTATTATTATTATTATTATTATTATTATTTTTTTTTTTACGCATTAACAATTTGTTATTGGAATATAATGCTAATGATTTCAAATTGGTTACCATAATTTAAGAAGTTTTCATATTTAAATTAAGAAAATGTAAAGATGAATAATCACTGTACAAATTTAGGAGTGAAAAAAAATTGTTTTTTATTTAAAAATTTTTGTTATTTATTTTTCAAAAATTCTAACTTTTTTTTATCTCAATTTTTTTATTATTATTTTTATTATTTATTTGTAGTCAATAAGCTGTAGACTTAAAATATTTACTTTAATGTAGACATATTGTTGATATAATTTAAACAGCCAAATGTTAATTAATACGTGTTTATCGTAATTAAATGAATAATTTTAAATTTGACAGTATTATTTGGTAAAATGTTTTATGTACTTATGTAAAAAATTGTTTCGTGTAAGAGTTTCAATTTTTAACATGATAAATATATAGATGCATGTAAAAAAAAAAATAAAAAAATAATAATAAAAAATAAGAACATTATACAATAAATTATTATTTAATATATTTAATTAATATGAGAAATCGAAAAATTAATCCCAAACACTAGTGTACATAAAGTATTCTACTATTAAATGTGTTTTGCTCAACTAATTTCTAACAACAGTCAATATTGATATATACATAATATATATATTTTTAAATATATATATGCATATATATATGTATAGCATAACAATGTGTTTATACATATATATATATGCATATATATGCATAAATATATATTTATATATGCACCTATACATGTATATATATTTATATATTAATAAATATATAACCTAAATATTAGAAGTATTTTAAGGTTTTTTTTTATGATTTTTATTTTTTATTATTTTTGTGTGAATATTGTTTTAAGATTTTAGACTCGCCTTAAAATTGCATTGTATATGAACCTCCCCCCTCCAGTTAAAATTATAAATAAATAAAAATAAGAAAGAAAAGAAGAAAAAAAATTTGTTCTTTGGCTGTGATCTCTGCATTAAGGTTCACTGTTATAATTTGATTGTATTATAGAATTTTTTTTTAATGTAACAAGTGCATAATGTATGTATTTTAAATTTATTTCTATTAGTTATTATTATTGCATATTAAATAATAATGAATAATAAAGAAAAACTCAATGTTTAGAAAAATAAACACTGTTTTTAGTTTTGTTTTGTTATGAGTTTATGACAGTTAAGTACTTATCATCGATTTTTTAAATCCAAAAGTTTTTGTAATGTAGTGTTTTTTCTAAAAAAAAAAACACAAGTCTCAAACTATCATATGAATAATATTGCTGTTTTTTTTTTTATTTGTAATATAATATTCAAAACATTGTTAGAAGAAAATATTGCAAATTGATACTACTACCTTGTTTGTATATAATGGTATATATTTAACCTATAAATAAAAATACATTGTTATTTCCCGTTAACAAATATGAACATGAGTTTTGATAGTTTTAATTATTTTATATTTTGAGTTCCAATAGTTCTTGATTATTGAAATCACTTATACAAATTGTCTTATCCAGAAGATTGAAACAGCACATTTTATTAAATATAAGATTCTCAAAAGAGAATAATCAGTCGGCTGATCGATTTTTGTCAGTGCTGCACATCTCCTACCAACTTCCTGGTGTTAGTGTGATCATGTGGTTCTCAAAGGGCCAATTGCATCATTCATGATTTTAATTGTCTTCATGCTATACTAAGTTATAAGTATTTTTACAATTATTTTTGAGTAAATAACAGGTCCACTTACAACATTGAGGTCCTAAAGACTTCTTGTAATCTTGGCAGTTAAGGTGTAAAAAGTATAGTGAGTCGTGACTATATTACTATAGTACCTCCCTACGCCTATCGGCTCTAGTTGCCTTTCACTTTTCAATATACTTGACCGCAAAATTTAAAAGAAAACATTACAAAAGAACTGTGTCTGGCAAAGTAACTGAATAACAAAATAACAAAAATACGTACCAATAGAAAGAGTGGTTGAACACCTAAAACTCTCCCCCTTGTCTAGTCTTCTGTATCCCACTGTTTTCATAAGATTTCTAGTGTCATAGCTCATAAGTAATAATATATTAAAATTATTTCAAAATATCTGGTTTCGATAAATTAGTAACTTTTAACACACTAAAAATGTGAATCTATTCAATTTTATGTATTTGTGACCTGATCTAGGTTAAATTCATTTTCGTATAAAAAATTGTAATTGAAAATTTCATCGTGTGTATAAAATATAATAATATACCTACTTTAAAAGTTCCAAGTATCCACGAATTATATTTTTAAATTACTACAAAATAACTAAAATCGTTATTCTCGGTGTAGATGTATAATTTTGTCTAAATTTGAACTTAAATAATTATAAAAAAACTTATTCTGTAAATTATCTTGTTTAAATTTTCAATCCTTAACCATAAACATAAGCGCAAATATAATTGTGGGGGGAGGGCTAGCCCTCCCCCCCAAAAAAAAATTATAATAAAAGTTTCCTAAAATATTAATAAGCCTTTTGAAATTCAACTGTCATTCTTATTGTACAATAACTAAATTTTTATTTAAAGTTTATAATTATTTTATATTACCTATGATAAAATAGGTATGTACCTACCTTATAAGTATTAATTATTATTAGTGTTAAGGCTATATCCTGTACCCACTACTCAGTAACAATATATCAGGAGCCTTGAAAAAAAAAACCTCACTCCCCAGTCCGCTCAGAATCTAAAACATACATGATAAGAAATTTAAGCAGTTAGGTAAAAGTTTTCGTTTTTCATGTTTTTGGTAGAATACTTTTAAGGAGAGGCCCTAAATATTTGTTACAAGACAGCTGAATTATTAGTTGTTTAACTACTTGTTAGTCGTTTCATTAACATTCAAAAATTTAGAATTTTGAGTTTTTACTTTTTATTTTTAACTAAATAATAATTAACCAGGTAATTAAAATACATGGTAGGTAGTGTCACTTCACTATTATAGTCAAAACGGTCGATATCATTATTGACCACGAGTAATTTAAATTTGCCGCAATAACGACTACTATTTTATTGATTCCACATTAGGTATAATAGTTATGAATTCGATAATGAAGTGACACTAACCTAACCATCAAGATTTTCAAGGAAGAATTTGGAGTGTATCGATACGTATCGAGCCAATTTTGAGCGTTCAAGAAGTTGCAGTATACAAGCGATATGTACCGACCCGTATCGGACTCGGACTTCGATAAGAGGTGGTACGTATCGAATTTTTCTTCTTGAAAATCTTGCATGTTTCATAAGTACCTATCTTAGGATATTTAGAAAATTATAAATTATTTTTATTTTTTAACCTTAAAGCAGGATTCACAGCTACGTCGTGTGTCGGTTCGGCTTGGAATTATATATAGTTATACCTATACCTAACATATAACTGGTAGCCAATTTGGTTTAAAAGTTGAGCCATGGCCAATTATTGGAATACTCGGTTGCTACATGATACCTACTAAAAAATTAATGTCCAACCACAATGAGATTTTATCAACATGACAACATGACACAACGTAGTTGTGAATGCGCTTCGCGTTCCGTGTTTAAGCATATTTAAAACAATATAGTTAATAGTTATCGTGTTACCATATTTCATTCTATATATCTGTGCCTATGTATATGATCTAAGAACACGACAAGACCCGTTGTGACCTTGGAGTAATATTACTCTATAGTCCGCACTCCAGTATATTCTTATCTATCTCAGTGATTATCATTGGTTTCGTGCATGAACTAAGATAATGTGGCGGACCACGTACGGGCCACATAAGACTCTGCGCACGGGCGCAGAGCGCTCTCTGGTTGTTCGTCTCAACGACAGCGGACTCGGGGAGACAACGACTAAACAGCGGGTCGTTGCGGCGATTTTCTCCCCAGTCACGCTACAGGCGCTTCAAACTATATAAAAAGAGACACCGAACACCAGATCAATGTCCTCACGGACGCCGGCCGGTCAAATCTTTTGTGCGCCCCCACCGTGCCGCCAAAATATCTTAGTTCATGGTTCATGGTTTCGTGATAATAATTATCACATTTGCCATTGATAATATAAATTATATCAGATTCTACATTATCTATTGTTAATTGTTATTTGTTATGATATCATTTATGTCCTACACTCCTACAATTTAATAAATCATTATTTATTACTATTTAGTATTTACTAGAAATTAAGAAATTGAGAACAAGTCTCCAATTGTATTGTATTGTGAATTTTTTTGTTTAAATTGTACTTGGGCTATATCTAAATCAAAATTAAATATTTAATCTAAAAATACCAATGTCACAATTAGGGAGAGTAAAAGTGAGTGCTTTTGGATCTTTATGGTTTCAATTATATTATACTGTTTATTTCATAGTTTGAAGTAGCACATGTGTAGATTATAATAAATAACTACAAGGATTGTGTTATATTTTAAGTTTTAAAATACTTATATACCTTCACAGCAATGGAATACGTTTGCTCGCTGTTGGCATCTGTTTGATGCAGCTTGGCAAAATCCTTTGGAATGTTCTCCAACGATTGAAAAGTATTTAAAGGGGCTTAACAAACCAATTTATCATCCTCTAGGTTAGTACTGATATTTTATTTATTAACATTTTAAAAGATAGGTTTATGTTAAGTATCCCAGACATACTTCAAGTTTAGCTCCCATGTGGTTTTTTTGTAGTTTTTGATGAAAAAAATTAAGGTGCCAACAGAATTTGTCGGTCAGAGTTAGTTTCAAAGTTATAGCAAATTGAAGTATTGAAATGTCTTGGCACAATGGGAAATCTGGGCTACAGACAATTCATGTTCATTTTTGTAATAACTATAAATGTATGCTTTTAAACAATTTTGTCTCAACTCAGAGACCCAAGGTGGCTTTACATACCGAGTTGAGCGGTCTTTTCAATTTTAATTGTCCGAGTGAGTGACCACTCTTGGTGTATTTATGCTTATAATAATTTAAAAAAAATAATTCACTTGGGCGCTAAACCAGAATTGTTCCAGTATACCAGGGGTGGGCAACTGGCCGCCTGCAAGCCTTTTTTATCTGGTCTGAGCTACATTTTCAAATTACATTATAAACAAAATAAAGGCTAATTAAAATGTATATTTTGAATGACCCCCCCCCCTTTTTTGCTTTCTATGTTCTTGCTCTCTAGATTTTAATTTTCTAAGAATTGGCCCTCTAGTAACTTCAAGTTGCCCATCCCTGAAGTTTACCAATATTAAATAATAACAAAATATACAATAATTTTGTAATATACCTACTATTATTATATCAAAATATTTATTCATTACTTTGTAAAATCTATAGGTTCCTACTATTTAATGTATCTTTTATAATAATAAATAATTTGAATTTACCACTTAAATATATAATTTACTTTTATTGAAATCATTTTCTATTTTATTTATTCTTTACTTTATTTTTTTAAATAACCCAATTAATTTTAAATGCTAATAGAATTATAAAAATAAAATGATCTAAAATATTTTAGTTGAACGGATAACTCAAAAGAACATTATGTCTTAACATCAGATTCCAAATATTATGTATTATTGTGTATAATTTTTGTATGTATGTTCTGCAGTACTTAGGACAAAACTAATGAATTAAAAAAAAATAGAAATTCTGTGGTACGACTTGTCGATTTAAAAACATTTATGATATATTGAATGAAGCCAACCATTTGCAAGCAAACAAATATAATAATACAGATACACAGTGAACTTGTTAATAAATATATCACTATATCAGACTATCTGAGTAAAATATGATTGTTGACCCAGTGGTTTATTTTATCAAATACAATATATATTATATTATATATGTCTAGTAAAAGTTAAATTATTAACTAAACATAAATCATATAAAAAAAAATTTATTAATTTTTTACTTGTAGTTGACTGTGGTGATCACGTTGTGGTTATAAACAGTAAACAAATTGCTTTTCCTGGTGAAGAATGGCGTCGACGTGCTTATTTCCATCATACAGGATATTCAGGCGGAGCAACTTGGACTCCAGCATGGGAATTACATGATAGAGATCCAACTATGGTATGATTTTCAAAGTTATTACTAAACTAATAGTTTTTCATTATTGTATAATGTTATGTATACTATTAATTTTGTAACGTTTAAATGTTTTATTCAGCAAAGAGTTGCTTAGAATACTGAGCACAGAACTCTTTTAGATAGGAAGTCAATTTTTGTGATAAAACTAAATATAATTAATAATTATTATTAATCTAGGTTATAAAGTATTTAAATTAAAAACATGTACAGGTATCTGCTTTTTTGCTGATGTGACCACTTGTCCAACATAATTCCGTTATTGCGACTTACTTTTGGTGTTGAGACTACTCTAACCCTGATAGATTTTATATATAAAAACAATAATACATAATACTAGCTGACCCGGCAATGTTTTGCTATTGCTAGATTTCAGTACATTTATATATGTTTAGGAATATGTGAAAAGTTTGATATGAATTATATCAGATATTTAATGTGATTAATTTTTTAGTATAATTTTATATATAAGTGTGGAATACATTTGTATGGTTTTTATTTTTTTGTCAATTATATCAATTTGTCTTAAGCATTAAATATTTTTGGATACACCACTTTAAGTGTCTCGCTTCTGGGGCCAGCACAAATAGATTTTATTTTCATGTGACACGTGACACAGCTACACACAATTGACCATAGGAAAAACACTGGACGGTTAAGTTTAAACCTGCAACGTTTAATGTTTGACATTGTGCCTTATTAATATTCATTGCAAAACTTACTTTCACGGGCAATTTGAGCCGTTTGAACTGGAATGGCAAATTGGTTGGTATCATTGGTATTTTAGGAACCAAGATAATTTCCCCAGCTCCACAGCCAGTAAGCAATATATACTCAAGCAGACAGTTTTTTAAAGATTTTATTTGTAATCTTGTATCGTTGCATAATTATGGTGGATTTAAGTTTAAAAGTAAAATTATAGGAGAACCTATCTCTATAATTAATGTGTGGTGGAGTCCCTGAAAGAGATAAAGAATTTAAAAATTCAGTTGGATAATGTATCGTCTCCTCTGTATCGAAAACAGTGTCAACGGAATAGTACACTTTTGTTGGAACATTGCATTTTAACAGTATCATGTCATTTATTTTATTGACTTGATCGTTAGTTGGTGACAATATTACCCTTTCTTGAAACCAACTTGACGTTTTAGTCGAAATATTAGATAAATCTGGGTAAATATTTTCAATTAAGTCCAGCAAATAAGACATCAAAAAACATACGCACAGCAGTTCTCTCACATCATGCGCATCAATAACGATAATTTATGTGTTATCTGTATACTGAAATAACTCGGTTATTATGTTTCTACAGACAAAACTAAGATTACGCCTATACGAGTGAAAACTAATAACTAAGTTAAAAGCGGAAAAACAATGCAAAAAATAATATCTGACACCATTTGAACTTGAGGCACTGTTTGAAATCTTATAAAAAGGCCACTGCGCAAGAGAAATCTGTGCACAGGGCGATAATTTTATGCTATTTAAGTATACATGGATCTATGGCACAAATAATTTTTTAATTAATATACTTTTTAAATATTTTATTAATCAAGTTATACGAATAAATTGTACATTAAAACCTTCCCCGAATCTAGACCTATTGATTAGTGAAAACTGTACTAAAATCCATTGGGTACTTTTTGAGTTATGCGCGTACTGCGTACATACAAAAAAAGAGGTTCTATTTTATATAGTAGTATGATGTCCAAATGATATTTAAAGTTATTGATCTCTGGAATTCACTCTAAAAATAAAATTATTCATTGGATTCAAAGGAAACGCTTAATGCAAAAAAGTCATTATTTGAAGTTAGATATTGGATATTAATGTGTTGGATGCGTAAAAAACATGTCAACTAAAATGTAGGTACTTACAATGGCACTGGAGTGATTAAAGTAAATTATGACATCGTACATCATGAGGCCCCCAATCATCCCCTTTTTTCATTTTAAAAAATCAGTTGCAAATCAAAGTACCCTCAAAATGAAATTGTTTTTATTTATATGTTTTAACGTAAACGGGATCCCTGAAGTACCTTATGATGGGCGCCTATGTAGCCTGAGATTTAATAATATCTGTAATTTTGAATATTTAAAAATAAAATATTTAAAACTTTTTTGTGTAATCAAGCTATATTTCCAATTTAAAATGTGATTTATAAAACAAAAGTAATAAGTTTTTTAAAATTAAAAATAATAAAGTATCCTTAAGCTGTTTTATAACAACCATATTATTTTATTTTAAGTTGTGGTTGTCCTTTCCAAAACTTTTATCATAAAACATTCTTTTATTTTCCTGTATATATCTAGAAAGGTCCACTGTTGAGTTCTTCCAAAATTATTTTTATGCTTAAAAAACAAACTTTCATTTATTCCAATAGTTTTGTTTAGACCTCTAATTTTTTTTCCAAATGCAGTTTTCTTGATCAACATAACACAAACTTTTCTCAAATAACTATTCCAATATATTACAGATTTATCACATGTATTTAAACTTTTTTCCATCACATAATTAAGGATTGTTTTCCAAGCAAAATAAATTCTGAAATTTGTAATAAATGGTAAAATACTATTTTTCAAACCAATTACCTTGTCAGATCAACTCGTAGTCTTGACAAAATATGTATATGGTATTACTCAGTAGTCCAATTTGTTTTCATATGAAGCTGATAGTTCTGGTTAGTCAGTAAGAAGTACCGACATTTAACATTGGTAACTTGTTTGAAAATAGTTGCGTTTCTTCTTTAATTAATCTGTGATAGTTGTATGTGCAACATGAGTTTTCCTAGAGGAATTCACAAATTTATTAAATACTAATGCTGACCCAGGATACTAAAATGGTAGTTGCATCACCGAAATATGTCAGTCACAGTAGTTGTATTAACTGAAAAGTTTAAAATTAAATATATTATATTTTTATAAATATTTTGCCTGATAGTAATTTGCCCTTACTTTGAACCTTTTTTAAAATTCTATAACAATTTTTATAACGAGTTAATATTTTTTTGTTTCTTAGATATTCAGAAAAGCGGTTTATCATCATATGAAAGGCAACTTATTCAGAAGAGTAGTTATGGAACGTTTACACATTTATTCAGACTCTAACGTACCAGAAGAGGTTATGGAGAATATAACCAATCAAATACCACCATTAAGATCTATACCCAAGACACTGAGCTCTTATAGTAAAGAAGAAATTGAAAAATATCCAAAGATTATAGATTACCCTGAAGATTTTATTTTGTCAAAAAATTAAAATTATGTTTGTAATATTATTTTAAATTAGACTATTATTAGTATAATGTAAAGATAAAAGTAACTATTACTTGTTAATTAACAATAGTTTTTTTCAATTGAATATTATTTTTATTTTTTCTGAATAAAATATAAATTCTAAACATTTTTACTATTACAGAATAATTTGTAATATACCTAACCTAACTGACTACACTTGTGATCTGATACCTACCAACAAATAAAGCATGAATAATTATTCATTTTTGAAAAGAGATCATAAGTCATTATATCTAAGGGTCATCTAAATAACGTTTTAATACTTATTACTTGCTATTTAATAGTGAATACAAATCCCAATATATAATGTTGAGTTATAATAAATGGATGGTATTGTTAATTGTTTAAGTAACAGGTTGAATTTTGGATAAGATTTGTGTTAACAAAATCTATAGATAATTCAAGAACAATTTGATGCCATTAGAACAGAACATTAATTTTGAATGATTCCATTATTTTCTGAAGCCATAGCTGATAGCTTTATAGCTACTCCTAAAATGTGCATAGTAAGTAGGCACTTCAATTTGGAATTAAATGTTCACAATCAAAATTTTAAGCTGCATTATATTTCAGTAATAATCAAATATAGTAAATGGTAATTGTAGTTCAACAAATAATTAATATGTTTATAATATGACCCTTAGGAACAATACGTAGTGACAATAAGATGCAATAAAAACTACATGAAAAATTATTTTACTACATAAACATTTATGCATTAAAATATAATTAATAAAATGAGCAAAATGAACAAAATATGATAAGTAGGTAGTATAACAAAAAAAAATATCACATATAAAAATAAAGATAAAAAAAAACATTAGTGAGTAACATTGACATAGTTTGAAAATATTATGAATTATTCTTGGCTCTATCTAAGACCAGACAAGTCCGGATCTCTCCTCAAAACTTGTTCTAGTGTAAATGCCTACAGTAAGTTGATTACTGGTGTTGTTTAAACCGGGTTGAGGCATAAAAAGATCGTGAACTGCATGTGAGTAAGAGACGATGGCATCGTTCATTTTTTTGTAATACATGTTGTCCTCTACCAAGGACATAGGAGCAGAATTTCCTCTATAACCGTTTAGACGGCTTAATGTTTTAATGTTTTGAAGCCCTTTAAAAGTACATGCTGCCATGATCGTCAAACGTAAGTTATCGGCGTTAACACGATGGCTGAGGTCTACGTAAATTTTATTTTCAGGGAAACGCACGATAGAACTAAATGGGGTGTATTTGTTGTGTAAATCGTCAATTATCTTCAAAATCGCGTCACAATCGGTTTGAACAGTGATATTCTTGGTTATGAGACCACGAACCGCTCGTCTAAAGGGTCTGAGTTCGCACCAACTATGAGATTCCAAATCCTCGGCCTGAAGCGTCCATTTATAAGGCATGATTATTTTTGATAATGTTTAAGATCTTAGTATAGACAAGGAAAATGTGAAAAGTGTATACTAATGTGGTGAACACAAGCGATGTATAGACTGTTGAGTGTTGAGGTACCTAATCGTAATTACACTAACGCCACGTGGGTGTTTCGGTAGAAATAATAACCAAATACCTAACACTTTTTCAAAGTTAAATTAAGTTTTGTTTATAATGAATGAAGTTACTGAAATTAAAATTTTGAGATATTCAACAATGGTGGTCGATGATTGAATAATTATAATTAATTTATACGCGGTGACAGACGAGGAATTGCGAGCTTGAGACTGATCACTGATAAAGCGATAAATATAATGTTGAGTTCATACAAACTGCCCTATAAACAGACTGGTTTAAGGAGTAGTTACTAATTGATCTAATCTAATCTATTCTGTGATTACAATATTTACTGAATGTCTGAATTTACTCATTTGTAAAGACCAAGAGCTGGTATAAGTGATGAATTCGATATCGTTCATTCGTTCAACCGAAGGTAACAATTAATGAGTAATAACTATTGACTATTGTCAAAAAGTCCATTTTTAAAAAAATTGAACAAAAAATTAATTTGTTTACTGTCAAACAAAAACTCCAAGCACATTTTTTTTGTTATACAAAAAGTTCGAAAATTAAAAATATTCTATTTAATTTTCATCTATAATTATATGCAATTGCTAATGAATATAATTAATAGAAGTTGGATACTAATTTTTATATTAAATTGTTGTATATATGTTTTCTTAAACTGTTCATAGGTCGGTCAGCCTGGCACCCCGAAATCAAAATTTCAAAGTCAAACCATACTAAAAAATTATTTTTACACAATACCTTTTCAACGAAACTTCTACGTTTTGTGTATTGAATTTTTTAAACTATTATTATTGTAGTCATCGATGTTTTTTTTCATTTGTATATGGAACTATAATTTATATTTTTGAACTTTTTGTTTGGCAATAAGTGTAATCGGACTTAGTGTCCAACAATAAAAAAATGAATTGGGACTATTTGTCCAACTTTTTTCAAAAGGGACTCAATGTCCCCGGACATTTTTTCCAGGATTCACTTTGAACACAGATCATTTATTAGCTTATCGACTAATTATACATACCGAATTACGAAGAATGATTAGTAGAAAACTGTTTTTTTGGATAACTGGATATTTGCAGCATTACAGACTATAACACCTCCTTAAAACACCAAACTTTGAGGAACTGTATCTCGTAAACCAAAAAAAAAAAAATAAAAACTTAAATGCGAAAATTTAAAATAAAAATAGTTTCATCATTTTATGACCTTTTTATTATATGTTCTCATTTGAAAATCAAAAGTTGATGGTGGTTTCTTTAAGAAATATAAAGGTGAAAACAATTTAAATATTATAAATCATATAAATCTAAAAGTTTAAAAAAAATTCAAAAAAGTTAATATTCCTTGAAATAATTAGAGTACCCTCTTAAATGGATCACTCTATATATATACATATAGGCTATAGCTTAAGTTAAACGAGTCAAAATATTTTGAAAATGTTATTATGTACAATGTAGGTATAGTTAATGACAAAATAAACATTTGGTGAATTATTCAAGTATCTACGATTTTTTGGTATTGCATTTTATACAACAAAATAAGAGCATCGTAGTATTTCATTTAGTTATTAATTAAATTAAATTAGTCATTTCTGATATTTATTTTTATTTTTATTTTAAAAAGTAGTCAATTTAATATGTTGTGTTAAAATTTCAATTCTATCTAAGAGTGGTTACTGGTTAGTGATTTCAATGGGACAATTATGTTCGCCTACCATAATTGGTATGCAACCATGGCCATATTACTATGATAAATGCTACCGCCCATGCCTACCAATCACACCGAACAGTTCTCTAACCTCTTTGCAGTCGTGTGCAGCTTGCATTTGGGAAACACGATTATAGGTTAGTAAGAAACTATACAATTGAAAATAAAATATTAAATCCCAAAGTTCTTGTACTGTTCTACAACTGTTGTGAATTGTGATATTTACTTTACCGATTTGTTTCTTTTTAGTTTCTTTATTAGTAGTTCTTTAAGTGTTAAAAGTTAAAAATAATCCTACAAGATGGTAAGTGTACTTGTAAAATTATTTGTTTATTAAACAATTACATTTCATGACATGGTACATGAAAGGTCCTGTATTATTCCTATTACTTTTCTCACCACATGAGTGCAAAATATGAGATCGTTTAATTGATTGTCTTTAATTTTGGTCGAAAGTGTATTGAAATACAACTGAAATAGAAAAAGATCCTGTGGTGGTAATTCCTGATAAAATATTGAACATGTTAACATTTTATTAAAGGATTAAATACCTACCAAGTATTATTAATTTTCATTTATACTTTATGTAATAATAACCTACACTTAGTTGATATTGATTATTCATTTGTTTTCCGTTTTTTTATATAAGAAAACATAAGTTCTGAAACTTCTTTGTTAGACACTATTCAACTATCGTATATAATCTAAAATGGAGATAATGGTGTCCCAAAAATATCCTGCTATTCAAATTTGTTATGAAATATTTAAATTCTTAATAATGACTCATATATCAAAATTTCTATTTTTCAAAGTTAATTTTGCTTTATTTGGTTCTCTGTAGGTACTTAGAGAAACCAGTATATTCAGATACCTATAACTAATAAGTTATTTAGATACTTAATGGAATTGTTACACAATATACCATTATTCTTGTTTTTACATTAACATTTTCACTTATCATTCTAGAAAGTAAAAAATGTATCTTATTTTTGAATAATATTTTTAATTTTGTATACTGTGTTGTAGGTATTTATATTTAAAATTTTTTTTTCTAGCGTCCCCCAATTTTATTGCTTAAAGAAGGAACTGAAGATAGCCAAGGCAAATCTCAACTATTATCTAATATCACTGCTTGCCAAGCTGTCGTTGAAGCTATTCGTACTACGTTAGGTCCACGTGGAATGGATAAGTTGATTGTGGATAGTCGAGGTACAGCAACTATTTCCAATGATGGTGCAACAATCATGAAAATATCAGACATAATCCATCCAGCAGCAAAAATTCTTGTTGATATTGCTAAATCACAGGATGCTGAAGTTGGTGATGGTACCACTAGTGTTGTCCTACTAGCAGGAGAGTTCCTTAAACAAGTGAAACCTTATGTTGAAGAAGGAGTTCATCCCCGAATTATCATTAAAGCTTTGCGTAAAGGCTTAAAAATTGCACAAGACAGAATTGATCAAATTGCTTATAAAGTAATTTACTGAGTTATATATGAGTTTAACTAATTCTATAATCATTTCTATTACTATTATTTTTATAGATGAAATTTAATAATGATGAAGAATACCGTACTTTCCTTCAAAAGTGTGCTGCCACTGCTCTTAATTCAAAGCTAATCCATCAAGAGAAAGATTTTTTTTCAAAGATTGCCGTTGACGCAGTATTATTGTTAGATGAATTATTGCCATTAAACATGATTGGTATTAAAAAAGTTCAAGGTGGTGGATTACAGGTAATTTTTTTAATGTTAGCTAATACAATTAAATTTGTAACTCCCCAATTTGTAATTACTCCTCAATGTTTGGTAAATTGCATAAAAATTATGCTACTTGTTAATTATATTATTATAAAGTAATAATTACATTAGGTAATTAATAGTCTTACATTAAA